GTGCCTGTTAATTACCGAAGGGAATTGGGCTTTTGAGGAGAATGAGTACACAGACACTGAGAGCTAAAAGAATTCTCCACTCTAACGGACAAACAAGAAAAACTCTCAGATTTGCCCCAAAACCGCACCCGCAACACCATAGCTATAAAAGTTGTGACCACGCAAATACTAGCTATGTTTGAAAGGAATGGAGGTAAAGGTAGCATACAGAAAACATAGAGGTAAGCAGTCACATTTACCCAACTTTTTGATAATTTTTGGTTAATAGTTTTGCTGCAGAAGTATATTCTGCAGGGTCTCGAAATTATAAATAATTTTCACTGGTTAATTTACATGTGCAAACTGATTCACTAGAATTAACCAGACTTTCCAGAGAAAATACCATTTAAGATTGTGTGCAATACCTTAGTCTCCTGTAAAGCTATGGCACACTACATTCTGACATTAAAAGCAAATCATGGTTTTCATTGTAATAGTTGTTGGACAAAGTAGCTTGCTACTGAAAGACTACAGTATTTTGAAAATAGCGTAGTTATTATGCTACTGAAAAATGTAGTTAAGGAAGTTAAAGCTTTGGCCTCTCTATCACCACCTGTGGTTAAAACATAAAATTGCAATTTATTTGCACTGTTTTATGGCAGGTCTGTCACTCCACTTCAAGACCCACTGCCATCAATAAGAAAGATGATAAATGTGTTGTTTGAGCAAGTAAGTAGCATACTGCATTCCATGCCATAGTAGCCAGGCCTTCTATTCTTTACCTTAGGACATACAAGGACAAATGATGTAAATCTGAAATTTCCTGCCAAATCTGACTGAAAATATCATAATGAAGCACTGATTGAGCACTGATTGTTTATATATTTGCTCAATAATAAAATTGTATGCATTATTAGCCCAAAACTCAAACATTACCACCACAGCTCTTACAGATCTATAAAAGTGACAGGTAAAAGTAGGATACTTTCAACAATACGTTATGAATACTATTAGCTTGAAGTTTAGCTTACCTGTCCAGACGAAATTGTGCAAGTATGTAATATCAATTGAAATCCAAACATTACATTAAATTCCTCCATCTTGTAAAAACACTGCCAGTGTTTAACCTTGATTTACCCCAGTGTCTTTCTCTGTGCATTTTGGCAAGTCTTCAAATTTTGCTTGCGCTTCTGTAATGGAATCTGAGTTTCTTTTTCCACACCAGTTAAACACGCTCAGGCTCAGCCAGCTAATTAGCCCCGCCCTAAACTCTCGCTATTGGCTGTGCAGAGGTATGCAAATACATAGTTTGACAGAGCGGTAGGACATCCTATAGGATCAAATGCATTGATTGGACAAACATTTCAGTCCTGAGGCTTCCACAGTAGATATATTTTATATTTTGACCACTTTAATTATTGATTCCTATCAGGTTGTGAAGAAATTTTCAGCCAGTAAAAAAAATAAAAAATAATAATAAATATGTTTCTTGAAAAGAAATGTAATCCTTAAGGTTGCCAGGATAAAGTTGGTAATTGTTATAGGTGCTAGGGTATGCGTACAATGTGTGTTATATAAAATTGATCATCATTCATACTGTGTGTGCGGACTGATATTTTTTTTAACTGTTCATACTCATCTCACGTTTACGTCTTGAATTTTATTTGCACTAATAAGGCAGTTCACAAGGTGGCAAAACTCGCCTAGACTGATGTTCATAGTTAAAAAAGAAAGGAACCGTACACTACTGCAAAAACGTCTCAGGTTATGTATGTAACCATGGTTCCCTGAGAAGGGAATGAGACACTGTGTCTACCATAGCCATGGAAGTTGCCCCTAGGACGCCTTGACGGCTGTCACTAGAGGTCGCTTTGGGGAACGCCTTCAGCGTGACCGGTGTATGAAGCATACATCTAAACACGACAATAACATTGGCCGGCGACAGCCTATGACGTCATTACCCGGCGCGATCACAGTATAAAAGGGTGCCGGGAGAACACGTCATCCGCTTCTTCGTCTGAAGCTTGCGTCCGAAGCATGGCAAGGAAACTAGAGGACACAGTGTCTCGTTCCCTTCTCAGGGAACCATGGTTACATATACGTAACCTGAGATGTTCCCTTCTGAGGGAACTTCGAACTGCGTCCTCTAGAGGTCACTTTGATGAACGGTATACCCATGCCGCCATGCTGAGGGGAGTGCATGTCAGAAATCACGTCGAGCACTAAGTACCAACTCTACCATTGCCAGGGGAGTTGCCCCTAGGATGCCTTGACGGCTGTCAGTGGCATTATCTCCTTCGGCCAAGGGCCTGAGCTGCATACCCTAAACAACTTACCTGTTAAGGGCTGGGCTGGGAAGCCCGAGCCTAGGGCAGAGCTCAAAGGCTTGGAATCAAAAGAAGAGATTCCTTTGAGGGGATACGGCCCGGGGTCTAAAAACCAAACCAGACCCTAGCCTGTCACCCAGGGTGCTACCGCCAGTTCTGAATGAGCTTGCTTAAAGAACTGGCGTGACAGATTTTTGGTAGCAACACCCTGCTCAGAAAAGTATCAACAGGGATACATAAGTTGAGTGGAGCCCAAGGTGAAAACCGGGGCCTAAACCAACTCAGTGCACAACCCTTACCATACAGGATTTTAGAAAGTGCGCAGAAAGCTTAGCGTGCACACTTACCACAATGTGGATTTAGAAAGTGCACAGAAGCTTAGCGTGTGCACTTAACAAAGCATGGATTTAGAAACACTGTTACTAAGGGGTAACCGAAGCTGTCACCTCAGGGAGCACGTCACGAAGCATTATACTCCGAAAAATGCTCAACCTGAATGGAGGACCCGTGAGTCCTGAGGTCGCAGCGTAATACTGGGGACCTGACGGCTAAGGAGGCTCCCGCAGAAGCCCAGCAACTTGGCTGCGTGGTCCAGTAGGCATGAAGCCGAAGATGTAGGGCTAACATCCAGCCTGGATCCAGGACCGACGGGTGAGAACATCACCACTATCGGTCAACAGCGAGGGGTTCTGACTTCAGCAGGGGAGGTGCTCACAGAGGTCCTAACCCTAAAACAAAGTCAGAAAAACATAGGTCCAAGTAGCGCTGCGGAGAAAACTAGTTAGTGAATTCACATGAACTAACAATAGAGTTGATGAAATGGATCATACTCACCAACCACGGCTCCCGCGCATGACTCAAGCTCATGGATTTAATCTGAAGGCGAAGTCTGAAGAGCGCTTGGGTCTGTACCATCAGTAGGTAGTTCTATGGGACATAAAAACTAACCAAAAACATCATAGGTCCAGCATGAGAGACTGTAATGCAAGCGCAGGAGACTCCTACCTAACCTCGGTCAGGTGGGTGGCTTTAGGGGAATTAAGGGGAGGAAGATGAGAGCAGATGTTAATACTCTCGGATGGAGGTGAGAAGATGGCTCAGGTTTTACTCACAGATGGAGGACACGGATCCACACACTTCTTAAACGCCTTACTAGTGCTTGCCATGGTAAAGAAGAAAAATCATTCTTACCGGAATGCACGCTTCAAACAAAAAAGTCCTGAAGACGAAGAAGAGGATGACGTGTTCTCCCGGTGCTCTTTTATACTGTGATCGCGCCGGGTAATGATGTCATAGGCTGTTGCCGGCCAATGTTATTGTCGTGTTTAGATGCATGCTTCAGACACCGGTCACGCTGAAGGTGTTCCCCAAAGCGACCTCTAGAGGACGCAGTTCGAAGTTCCCTCGAAAAGGAACAATAAATGCTTGCATTGATGGATGCTTATGTGAGTGGGTTAAGACATACCTGCAACTCTAGTTTAACGACAGTTTTAAGACGTTTTTATCAGTCATAAGTTTTGGAGAAAGATCGCATAGGCACTGGAGGCTACGTATTTGGCTGTACACATAAACTAAACTTGGTGTAAAAACTGAAGTAAACATTGTACTTAAGTTTGTGTGTGTAGTAAATTCACTATAGCTGATACAACAGGTCTATTCCTTTTGATTGAGCGCCCACCTGCATTTCCCTACCCCCAAATGCCTGCCGTTGACCTCACACACACATACACATCTGATGGACTCTCCAGGGCCCGGGACCCCCCTCTGCCTGTCAGACCCTTCCCCCATGGGGAAGAGGAGGGGGTTCTTCACTGGAAATCTTGTACTCCCTTCCACAGCAGCCATCTGCAAGCAATCTGTCCGCTTTACCCATCTCCCCAGTTCCTCAGACTCTCTCTGATTGATAGCCCCAAAAGGAGTCTTATGGCCCAAACTGCGGACACCAAATGTCCCTGTTCCCAATGCCATCATGATCCAATTACACGGCACATCAGTCCGTTATGTTTCACTGTACAGGACATGGCGTGAACTAAATACTCTTGTCTTTGTGCCGCATGTAGGGTTTATGTTATGAAAATTACCTTTTTTAAACTGTAAAGCAGCAATTTGCATAAATCTCTAATGATTTGTGGTCTAATGTCAGACGTCCCAACCTCAAAGGCAGAATGGATAAGTGAGCGAATTCAAGACAAGGAGGTAGCAGTAGAGAAAGAATTACACATCAGCCGCAGGGGAAGGATCTGTTTCCCACATGCGTTTGCAAAGAGAACAAACATGGCCTCTCATCCTCCCATCCACATTAAGATGCTCACATACGCACTGCATATTTTAAATAAAGTCAGTGCATTATTGGAGCTGACATCGAACATATCATCTTGAATGTGTTTGGTGCATCTGGAGATGTTCTTCTCGCAGACAAAGCCCACACATCCGCAATGCCGAAACAACATGTTGTTTGCACTATATCTCTCTTCCTATTTTGTGTGTGCGTGTGTGTGGGTGAGAGATTGCAGACAAGATCTAGGGTGCATGTATGTGCACATATGTGAACGTGTGCATGCATGAGTGCAGATAATCTCAAGAATGCTGCCGTCTTGTCACGCTATTGCTGTGTTTTGCCGCATCTGTAGGCCAGCTAAGCTTAGCGGAGACACCTTGCCACTCACCTATCTCACCACACTGTCTGTTTTCCAGTAGGTCGTCTGGTCTGAAGATGGAAAGTTCCAGAAGATGAGGCAGTAGCACAAAGCACAGTGGGAAGGCATCTGTTCACTGCTGGAAGAGTACAACAAAGGATTCTGAGAAATTATAAAGAGGTTCCTTAAGAAAAAAAAAAAAGATGAAAATGATGTCATGGAGCCAAAATATTTGCACTTTCTCCTCCCATTTTTAGACATTTTATTATGTCCTTTGTTTGTGTTGTAAACGTCTTATTAATATGACTATACTATGTCCTATAATATGAGAACACAGACTGTAAGTGTGAACGATTACATGCTTCCTTCCACATTTTTAGCACATCCACGCTCAATCCAGACAGTATTATAGTTGTGTTTGAATGAGACATTTTTGAATGTCATTTTAAAAAAACAAGCATTCTGTTTTGAAATTAGCTTGTCTTTAAATGCCTCTTCTTCGGTTTGCTTTTGTTTTTGATAATGTCCACTCAACCAGTATGTTTGCTCATTTGTTCACCTTGGCAACGGATCTAATGGAGCATTGATAGTGAAAAAGAAATGGAGTGAAATCATTTCTGTCAACAAACATTAGCTACGGTCTCTCAGACCTGCACCTAAGGACACTAGTAATGCACACATAACCATCGCCTGAGAATTAGCAGTAAGTTCCACATGGTTTGTTCAGCAGTCAGAGGTCAAAAACACTATCACGCAAAATTAGTATGGTAAATGTCACGAAACACTTAGCTTTACTATCTTCAAGTGGATTGTTCAGTAAGTACATGGTGTGTCTCACATAGTGTTCTGTTGTTGTTGTTGCTGTTGTTTTCTCGTAATGCCTTTATCAAATCTTGAACCTTCAAATGACAAATAGTACAGTAAGAATGGGTGTTGTAAGTGCTGTAGACTGATGTGTGCACAGAACTAATCTAATTTAGAAGTGCTTTTCATAAGAAATACTTCTTTCCATACATCAATTATTCCCGAGCTGGGTATTTGCATACACTTTTTGGACATGTACTATGGTATTCTTTGAGGTACCTGGGAGTGACATGTAGATAGCATGGTAATCATTCAGTGCCACTGTATTTTACCATGGTATTACCAAAATTATGTTGTTTTTTTTTTTTTTGTAGGATTCAATTTTCTTCTCTGGGTAGAAAAGGATTGTATAAATCAGAAGGTTTGTGTAGGTCTTACAATAATTCAGTGTAAAAAAAAAAATAAATTGTTTTCTCTGAGCTCATGTCCTGTCTGGTGTGATTTATTGTTAAGCATCTGTGTTAGCTGGAGTGTGTTCAATAGCAATGATTTGTTTCTCCGCCAAGGTAATCAACTATAGTTATGTTGCAGGAATGACTATGAGAAATGGGTAATTGATTTAAATTTATTGATTGTTTTAAAATTGTAATTAAAGTTAACTTCTGTGTCATCATTGACTGGGCTTTGATAATGGTAATTTCTTGTTGATTCCAAAAGCGAAACTTCCAAACTCTTGCAAGAAAACAAGAAAATTAGAGATATAAACATATTTAACCCTTATTTTGATGACTATACATTTCCTCTTTAGGAAAGATTTGTTTTGTGGCTCTTTATGTTTGTTTGTATGTGTAACACCCCCATGTATGTATATGTGTGAGTGTTTTATCTTTCTGCGTGTGTGTTTTTGCTTTTCGACATGTACTTGGAAGTCATTACTTTGGCTTAAAAATTTAATTAGTCAAGTTGTAAATATTTATCATATGTGCTTTTTTGTTTTGTTTGTTTTTTCTTCAATTCACTCTTAAAACTTCAATTAGATTATATCGTAGATTAAATTGTTAGTAGGCAGTACAAATCATAAAAAAAAAATTTTTCTTTTTTTTTTTCTGTTCATCACAATGTAAAAATGAGAGTCAGTGACAATACACAAAAGAAAAAAAAATCTGTCTACTTGTTTTTCTAACATTTTCTGATTATCTGCATCATCATAATGTAGAAATGGCAGCGAGTGACAATACACACATGCAAAATCTAACTGTGCTTGTTTTTTTTTTCTGATGATGTACGTATTTTGCTCATTGTAATTCAAATTATATATTTTCATTTGAAAAAAAAAAACACTTAAGCATACTTCTAAAAAGAGTTCTCCATATGGAGATAATATACTTTAAAATAATACACTTAAGTGTGAACTGACTGTAATGTTTTGGACACTTAATTGCATTTGCAATTAAATGAAAATGCATTAGGGTGTTACAAAAAATATTACATTAGTATTTTAATTAAGCACGACAAGTTTAAAACAATTATTGATATACTTTAATGTAAACATTTTCATTTGATATTACAAAGTGCAATTTTAAAATGGTCATAAAAGTGTGCTCGCAAGTACTTTTTATTATATATTACAAGTGCACATTCAATACAAGTAAGCACATATTTTTCAAAAGTGTTAACGTCAGAACACATAGCTTTGTGTGATATTTGTCACATTATTGTACAAGTTATCTGAGGTCAAAGGTCATAAGAAAATTGGAAGAGTGGCAAACATCTGAAGCTTGTAATGCCTTGTGAAAATTAAACCTGTTGAGTTGTTTGCTTTACAATTCGTTTAATGTGCAACATTTCATGAAAGACTCATATGATAAGAAAGTCATGATGTATTAACCTAATATTTCAGTTTTAAGTACATTTAATATTTGTATGCTGGCCTGAGGATTAATACTTCACATTCAGTAATGGTTCAGAAATTGGGTATGTCAATAGTAGTCTTGGGACGACTGTGTTTTCGAATTCAACTTCAGAGAAGTAAACACACCCTTGTTCACAGCTGCCACCCATTTTCTCTTTTACGCCCACCTGAAGTACTTCCAGACCTCAGCTGAGGCCTCATCACATTTTAAATGTTTCAAATTGTTCAAGCTGTAATCATGGCCAATCAAACGAGGGAACCAATCTGGAGGGAAGCACAGATTACTGTTAATATCACAGATAGACAGAAGGTGCCTCAAAAGAAAGGTATTTAAGCCTAGAAAATTGGCCTAAATCATCACCGTTCCAGCATGGCCTATTCGGCAGCAGTAAAGAAAAGGCCACATGTTCAGAATGTACGGAATGGCAGTGAAAGCAAGAAACTTCTATAAAAGAGGCAACTCCCTGTTCCCAGGTGCACAACTGATCAGCTGTCTAGTGATACATAGCGAACAAGGACTGATCCAAAGAGGATGTGAGATCATTGTTGAAATGCAGTAGAGCATTGAGGTACCAACGTTTTATCTTCCCATTGAAGCAGGAGCACAGAGATAAGTTCTTGAAGATGAGGACGGTGTCAGAGGTTGGGTCAAGGATTTTGGGGATATGGGGGGGAGGGGAGGGGGATGAAATAAGGGTTGTAAAGCAGCTGGGATGCATGTGTCTAACACTGACACATGTGGCATTTGACTTTCAGTGTGAAGTTCAAAAGAATTTCATAATGACGCAGCTGCTTAGGGATGTGTACATGAAAGAGCGTGTGTGCGGGTGATTTGCGGAGGAGGATAATAGATTTCCATTGTTCTTAAAGACCTATTGACTCAAAAGATGTCAGAATGTCATGTTGAGTGGTTCCATGCTGTGCTAAGCAACTTCGGCCTTACTTTATTCATTAAACTATAGTAAATTAAGTCTTAAGTGATTAAGTACATGCTTATGTAATGAAGGAAAACAGTACAGAAATGTTTGCTGTAAGTAGTATTTTAAGTAAGTAGTAGTGTTTAATTACTTATTACTAATTACTTTCTAAATCCTATATCAACCTCGACAAGTTAATGATGCAAGGATAGACATGAAACCGTTCTTTTGATTCTTTCAAGTAACTGTAAATGATTACACTTTAGATCAGGGTCCAATTCTTGCTATTAACTAACTATAGACTATGACTTTTGCCTCAAAATACTCCTAATTACTGCTTATTAATACTTAGTAAAATAGTTTAAGTTTAAGTTTAAGAATGGGGTAGGATTAAAGATTTAGAATAAGGTCTTGCCGAATAAGACATTAATATGTGCTTTTTAAGTAATAGTAAACAGCCAATATCCCAGTAATATTCATGCAAATACGCAACTAGTTAATAGTGAGAATTGGACACTAAAGTGTTATTATTATTAACTCACCAAAGTATTTAAAGTGAGAAGTGTACATAAAAAGCATGCATTTTAAGGTTAGACTTTAAATTTTGATGTATTGTATATAAATGTTCTACAGTCTATGAAGTGTACATAAAAAGCATGCATTTTAAAGTTAGACTGTAAATGTTGATGTTAAATCCACTATATATAAATAGTGCTCTACAGTATATACATAGAATTAAGTCCAATTACATAAGAAGTAACTGTAATTAAATTACTGAAAAAAGTAGTAATCCCTTACTTTATTTTTTCAAGTGAAAAGTAATTAAATTACAGTAACTAATTGCTTAGTAATGTGGTTTTTGTTTGTTTGTTTTAGTTTTTTCAATGAATAAATCTGCATTTTAGTCAAAGTGGCCACACACCATAGGATGTTGAATTGGAATGACACCAATAAAAATAAAATAAAATAAAATAAAATAAAATAAATAAAATAAATAAATAAATAAATAAATAAAAATAAAACATTTATAAAATAAAAATAATCTGAGAATTGAATTAGTCCTGCACAAGTTTTGGCAAGACTTTTGGTTAAATTCCTTTCTTTCATAATAACCTGAAAGTCTTGTATATGTACAGTATATGTTCAGTTCAGGAACTGAGATGACATTTTAAAAGCATTCTCAGTTCAATTCTGAATGTTTATTAATTAACAAGTAAGCAGCATGTGCAATTTTTATCACAACTAAATTCATTTCAGCAGTCTACTATATGAGCTACAGAAAAGAATTATTTAAAAAAAAAAAGACTCCTTTTGAGGGGAAACAAGAAAACAGATTTGATTAAAAGAAATGGGCCATTTCATGCATTTTATGCATTATTTTGTCAGATTCAGTCCAAATGTTGCGCGGTTTACTAGTTTCAGCCCTTGTGTGAAATTAGGATCTTGCATAAGCAGTTCTGCACATGTGCAAAGCTCTGCAAGCCATTATAAAGCACATTAGAGCTCATGAAGGGCAGTCATTTAGACAATAATGCCCTTAATAGTTAAAGCAAAATAGCATGTGAAATTGGAAAGGGGCTTGTTAGGTCTTGCAGTGTGAGCCATTTGTGTCTAACACACTGCTGTCTGTCTGGAGCAGCACCTGCCAAACAGGCCGTGCTCTTCAGGGCCAGGGGTCACCTGCCAGGAGGCCTAGCAGTGAGGTCAAAGGTCGTATCTCAGACAGGCATGTGTGATTGAGAACACAGCTGGACTAATCAGGGCAGGTGTCTGCCCCCTTTTTACCCTTCATCTTGATCAGAATAAAATACTATTAGTGCACAGTATATTAAAAGTAACTGTTAAAAGTATGTAAAACATGTTTATGCCTCATTATGATGTTTACATAATTCAGCAGGAATTCCCAGTTATGTTGCAAATAAAATATATTTATCTTTTTTATATATAATCAAAACAAACATTGTAATTCTTTAGTCCAGCCAAATAATGTGTCACAAGAAAATTCATTCATCACAATGAAAATAAAAGGTCAAGTTGAATATAATTTTAAACAAACCTGTAAACTAAGTATTACATTTTGGCATTTAACTAATCTTACAGCTTTTGTTCTACAGACGTAATAGCCAAAATTATGGAGCTTTTCTATGCAAGAGTCTGAGTCATAGCCCTGTGAGAAGTTTCTGTTCTCCCACATAGCAACACATCACTCACAACTCATTTTTGTATATGCTTTGTACAGGAAAGAATTTCTCAAATTGTCTTCCAAAAACATGTACACTACCGGTCAAAAGTTTGGAATAATTTAGATGTTCTTAATGTTTATAAGAAGTGTCTTATGCTCACCAAGCCTGCTTTATTTGTTGAAATACTGTAAAAAAAAAA